TTGGGTCGTGGAACACCTCGGCTGTGACCAACATGGAGTACATGTTCCATTCCGCCACATCCTTTGATGGATCAATTTCTTCATGGGATTTGTCTTCTCTCCGCAGCTGCTAGCCTAAGTTGGTAGCCCGGAAAGTCTGAACTGCCCAACCCAATAAAAGATTTAGATATCCTTGATGTTTTTGTTCATTGTCATTGTGTGCCTTTGGACATTTTGTTTGTATTCGTGATGAAAGCCGCCGATCATTGTTACTCGAGGTATTTTTTTTTAGTTTGACTGATGCGATGTTTGCATAATCTTTCAGACCCTGGCCCATGTATGCATGCAATCGCAACCAAGGCCACGGGAGCATGTTTGGTAATACGACACTGGAGCCACCCTGCCAAGCAGGACGAGGTCCAGGTAGACACTATCTCATGTGTGAGCGTTGCGGAGTGGGGAAGTTCGCCCCACCTGGCAGTTTTTGCCATGAATGCCATGCAGGTGGGAAGCAGTCACCTTTCATGAAAACTTTGACTTGACTTGAATATTTAACATTTTTTCTTGCAAAATATATGAACACTTACAATCGAACCAGATACCGTATTCTTCTAGCTGGACACTTGGCCCAGGTGAGGCAGTGGTGTCGTATATTGCTTTAACTCAGGTTTGGATGGACAGGTGGTGCCGGGTGCCAAACCCTCTGCGGATGAAGGGATACTATGGGATAGACCAATTCTGACAGTCTGGAGTGCAGGAGGTGAACATTGGCTACGTGCAATGTGGACGGATATCATAGAATCATAGAATATGGTAGTGTCGGGACACCCACGCTCTACAACCACAAAGCATTTACTTTTAGGGCTCTGGAGTCGCATGTGACATGAAACAGCTTGAATGAGACCATACCGAGCAATTTAACAGCTCAGTCCAGAAGCGCAGGTGCCATGCATCCAGTTTACATACCCAACAGCAGGAAGCAACTCAACTGACTGGGAGTATTCAATCACTTCAGCTATGTATTTTGGGTTTGCCATGACATGTCGCACTGTGTATTTATATATTTGCTGTGTAGAAGTGATTTGCGAAACAGGAAGCACATCAGAACAAAAGTTGTTGACGCCGGAGCGTGCTGACGCCGGTCTGCGCTTGCGCACCTGTTTGGAAAGAATTGCTTCGCAACGGAGGCAGAAAGATCAGAAAACACACCACGTTTGTGCAACGACTATTGCGTCCGGTACTGTGCACTTCAGATCAATTCAGCAGACGTGATGCGCAACGGCTGTCAGGGACACGCGTGGTGCCACTGTGCTCCTCCACATGGAGGCTATCGAACCAGCGATCACGTGGGAATGCAAGCAAGCGCAAAGATGAAATTCCCTTTGCCCAGTCAGCCTGAATCAGCCTGCCTAACTTGTTCTGTTGTGGGCCCAACTGACCTGTCAAAGGAGCATCAAACCCTTATAATGGCGCCCGGCTTGATTGCCTTCATGCCCGGGCGTCCGCGCGGTGGCCCTAAGCTCTACGCTCCAGCGCTTACAGCGCCCAGGATTCCAAGGTTACAGGATGTTGCAGGGTTGAAATGCAAGTCCAATCGCAGCACCCAACAGCCCAACAGCACCCAGTGTTGCAAGGTTCCAGGGTTCCAAGGTGGAAGTCCGATCGCAGCACCAGACAGCACTCAGGTTTCCAAATGTCCAAAGTGAGATTAAGGCTTCCGGGCGCCGGAGGCAAGCTGTGCACCACTGACCCAGAGGTTGAAACCCATTTGTTTGTTGGGGATTGGCAGTTCCAACTTAGTTATAACTTTCAGTCTTTCCTAGTGTAGTATCCGTTTTAAAGTTGTCAAAGCCCTCGCTTATATTATACATCATTTGCCTGTTCAGGCTCAGTTCCTTCTGAAGATCGTGGCACGTGCAATGAATGTCCGCTGTTCCAGTACTCTGTCAGCGGTGTCGACAACTGCTTGACTTGCAACTTGCCATCGCTCGTAGTGGACAACCGATGCGTTCCTGGGCGTTCACAGCCATCGTTACGCCGTGTATGTTTCAATGTGTTTCATGCAATATATTGCATGTCACGTGTTTGAATGTGTTCTCGAATGCTTGCCGCCAACTCTAGCAAACTCGTTGCAACGCGCCCAGGTGTGGTGGCACCTGCCACTTCTGGCACTTGGTTTCGGAGGTTTGGCGGTTGCTTCTCGCTTCGCCTGGTTATGGATCCGTTCGAGGAGAACCAAAAAGATGGAACGCATCCTTGAAAAGTTCTACGAAGTGCTATGGGATTCTTGGATCAATGCGGGGATTTGGGGTCGACCACCACCATTGCCGAAGGCAATGAGCTAAGTGTAGTTCAAGGTGTTTTAGTCAGTGTTTATTTTCCACACAGCGCAGACAAGAGCATCACAACACCCAAGGACAAACAAATACAAGCAATGTTGAGTTTTTGTTGATGTCCTGACCTCCATGTTCAATTGTTGCACGGAACAGCTGACGAACACTTCCAGCTTGAAGGAAATTGTACGTCTGAATAGTGCCACCTCTCCGTTTTGGTTCGAATGACACCAACATCTCATTATAGCTATGTAAGGCTGCATCCAATCAAGGGTTTGGTGAGCAGCCGGCCAATTTAGTCAAAAGCCGGTTTGCAATAATCTTGAGTGCAAATGTCGTGGGTTTGCCAATTTGCTGTGTATATATATAAACCGATGTCTTGATTTGTCCTAATCAATATTGTGTTGTGCTATAGTTGGCCGCACAAGTACAATTTTCACGCAGTGTAGCGACTGTAGCGATACATTGAACAATGATTTGACATGATGTTTTTTTTTTGACTTGGTCCGATGCTTCAAGGAAGTACCACGTCGAACACTCTTCCAATGTAGTCTTGGTTTTCCCCGGCATCGCGTCGCAGCGTGGCATCAGGAGGATGAACCAAACGGATTGGCCACATACACAGAGAAGTTGCATCGTCTTGGCCTTGGAAAACAAGAGATGGAGACCAAAATCTCAGCCATGCGTGCCCTACAAAGCCAAAGAGCTGGCGTCCCTGAAAGGCAAACAGTATATTTAGCATTATCTTTCAAGCTTTCCCGTGGGACACAACCATCAAACTGGTGAGAGCTGTAAAAAACTCTATTAGTGGTTGGCTTGTGCTGCGCCATGTTTCGTGATCAGGTGAGCATCGGTTACCTCCTGTCGGCTGAGTTTGCACAACTGGCTGTGCAACGCACTGGTCAAGATGATCCGACCTTCATCGACACTCTACGGAATAAAGATGATCTACCTGTGTCACAACCAAAAGAACAGGCCCGAATCCTTCCACAGGACCATCAATCACGTACAGTTCCATGTTAGACTGGATCGGTGTGAAAGTCCACTGGATCGGTGTTCTTTGTTTGTAAAACGCTGTGCACTGTGCACTTCCATGATTGTTGCAACGAGTGTTTTGTTTACCTAATACTGAGTAACGCATAACGCAAATGAGTGGAATCCGGTGATGAAGGTTAGGTTCTGCAACTTTGTCGGAACCATCTGTTAGAAGGCAACCTCTTGTAGTTGCAGGGTAATTTTTGTAGCTAGTGCAACATTTCTTGCCTTTCTCAGACCATTTGCAAGAGCTCAGGACATGAAAACTAGCTTTTGGCTCTCAGAGCAGCCCATTGGCCGAAACGTGATTTGCCCTCGAGATGGCAGGGCCGGTTGCGCTTTGGTGGATTGGATACCACGGCATGAGCGGCGTGAGCAAACCCACTTCATGTCATGGACCTGGAAATACACACTGCAGCAGGCACACCACCATTCTAGGCATGTGTAGTGTTGGAAGGCACTATCTAGGGAGATAGCCCGCTCTACGGAACCTGCTGCTTTCAAGCCTTGCCTTGTTTTTGTTTGCTGAACTGCCAAAGGGCCAAAGTCAAAAATGTGCGGGATTTACTTATAGACTCATCAAATATCATCAAATTCTTTAAGCCGGCTGACCTTCATGAATCTGCTTGGGGACTATCAACGATGATAATAACAACCCCGCATTTTGCTACAGCCGAAGGCATGTTCTTCCGCGCTGATTGGGCAAGACTTCAACTTTGCCAACCTTCCGCAGTGTTTGTTTCTTGCGGACGTATGGAGAGCCCAAATGAACGGATATATAGGCTCCTCCGACCCAACGGGATGCTGGAACTGGAGCGGCGGCACATGAACTCATCACCCCAGGTCTTCTCCAGGCGTATCTCGATATAAGGCTCCTAGTAGGCACTCCTTGTTTCCCCAGATCAATGTCCTTGTGTGACCGGCTTGCTTCGTAGGTCTTCTCAAGATTCTGAACTTGTTTGTCAGTGTTTTTCCTTCTTTGGGTGGTCCTTGCGGGGCTACCGTTGGTCAGAGGCAAACGGAAGGGTAGTGCACAGAAAGGGTTTTGCAAAAACCTATTCTACTAACATCGTGGAAGGCGTGGGACATTCGTAGAACCCAAGGCTATTCGTGGACAGTTCGTGGAATGGTGGGCCAGTAGGAGAACTGACTGCAACGAAATTCCAGAAACCTTCGCAGAACTTTGTGGAAGGTATTTTTGATGCACTAACTTCGTATAAGCGATTTTTGCTGACCCCCTCCATTTAGCCTTCAGTTGGAACTGCACAAGAGCCAAATGGGTTTAGCCCTTGTACACACATGCATGCATCCATACCTACCTACGTGCCTACCTACCTACCTACCTACCTACATGCATACATACATGCATCAGATACATATGATATGTATGTGTTGTTCCTTGTGCATTTTTTGCTTGCTGAATGATTTGTTGGAGTTTAGCCTGCAAAGATCAATGTGCACTCTTCTTCATTGATGCGTTTGCATGTGGTTGCATAGTTGTTGGAGTGATTACCTGAAACCAAAGCACTTTCTACAGGTGCGAAGCGCTTTGGAGAGGTTTCAAGACAACCTGGCGGGTCCATGCTATTTCTTCATGTGCTTCTTTGTCAACAACCAGTACAGGATCATTGTGGAGGAGATGAGCAGTGGTAGTGACAACCTGGAAAATGTCTTTGAAAGCAATCTCCAAAGGATAGGCAGTATGGTTGCCATACTGGATACATGGGACAGGCCATTGTATCTATCTCGGATTTGGACCGTTTATGAGCAGTTTGTGGCCTCCACTATTCACATTGAGGTCGGATTTTGGGATGGCCGCGAGATTGGGTCCTCCAAGCAGGGTTTCCAGCAAGTCTTGGTATGCGCAATACGCGGACACGCGGGTTGGTCTCTCCTATTTTCATGCCTGATGTCATGCAGTTCATTAGATTAGAAGTATATATATAGCTTGATGTAATTTGTTGATCAGTGATGCATTCCCTGCTAGCCTATCACTGATAGCCCACCGTCGTTTCCCGGTAAATGTGTTCAAACGCACCCTTGACATCCCACCCATGCACACCTACACCTATTGAATTGTGTTTCCCATGTTTCAAGGATGCTCCAGTTGAATGTGTTTCTCTCAAATTGTTAATATGGGATTGAGAAACATTTTTGTCAGGGGGTCTCCCTATTAAGCTTTTTACCATGCAACTCTTATCACTGTGTCCCTAGCTATCCTATCCTCTCACATTCTTCACCTCTTGAGGTGAAATTCATCATGCCAAAGTGTGCAGCCGAACATTTGCAGCGTCAAATCGCGTGCGGCTCGAAAGGGGTCGATCAAGTGATTCAATGCCTCAGTCACGTGGATTCTGAGCGAGCCCAAGCATGGAAATTGGAAGATGAGACCAAGGTGAAGCTTGAAGCAAAAGGAGTCGAGTGTAGTTATTTGTTTTTGTTACTAGTTTATTGAACAAATCCTGGATGGTGCTTTTGAGTTTCTTGAAACACATTTCACTCTTCTAGAAGGGATGTTTTGTTGTTGAGCCACTGTGGCACATCAGGAAGTCTCTGATCCAGGAGCTGAGCTGATACGGAAAGTTGGGGGGGCACATGTCAAACATCCGTCACCAACCATATGGCCTTGCTATGTCATGTTGATTGTACTCGTAGAAAGAGTAATTGTATGTTTGTCGACCTTGTTATTTGCGTGCAAAGATCGTGCGTTGCATTTGAAACATGTGTATGGATTTCTTTGGTTTCTATATGCTCTTTGGTACTCTCTGAAATGCTCGCCGCTGGCCAAAGATATGAGAAATGGCAAGTCTGACAATGTCAGCTTGTCCGTTGGTTCACGGGTTGCGTGTGTCTCCCCCATGCAGGCAAATGACAGCTGTGACCGATGTACCCAGAAGGCATGTAGGCATGTCTACATTTCTGCACACGTGAGGACTCCCTCGAATTGTCGAATTGACCAGGAAGTTTCCAGAAGTGTAATGATACCAAATTGGTTTGTAGTAACTCATGACTCACAGGTGCCTTCAGTTGAGTTTGCTAGCAGTGAACTCCATGATCTCTCTATCCCCTGTTTTCAGGAGACGGTCGGCTTCCAGCATGTCAATCGTCATGTGACGGATGTGATGATCACATGGATTGGAGGAGTTGTAGAACAAACGTGCCGAGAGTTGCTTGCCTGGAAAAAAGCACAACTGCAAATCGTGAGGGGACCATACTAAATTCCTAGACGTGATGCATGCGCATTTGCGCAGATTTGGCATGACTTCTGACTTCGCCATCCGGTTGGCATGATGGACTTTCTTGACATTGGTGGAGTTGGAGTTACTGGGGGGACTCCATATTCTTGGAGTCAAGCAAAACGTAATCTCTACGCCTGAATTGGCAGGGCAGCTTTAACATGTGCTTTGCAGGAATCTCCATGGACACCTGTCACTACCTTGGACCCAATTTTCCGAATCGGAGTAGTTTGAGAATTGACGTCCCCTGTCGCGACTCGGACGTTGTTTCGCGCGAGAAGCTAAGGCTTTTGGACAAGGCTCGCGCCACAAATGAGTTGAAGCATGAACTTCAGGCCGGACGAGTCGATCCTGTCAACAACCCCGTGGGTTGGCGTTGATTGTAGATGATTGTCGTGCATCAATATAAGAGTCGGAGCTTATGGTGATTACAGCGTCGTACATGCTGTAGTCCACAGCTTGATGGACAAATCACGGAACACAAACGGTGGTTTCATCATGCGATTCCCCGTCAACCCCATGACAGATCGAGGTGATTCGCCATCGGGTGCCATTGGGGCATGCCTATAGACGTGGACTGTGACATGTCGATTTCTCCTCAGGGTTTGCTGTCCGTTGTTTCATCCAGGCTGTGAGTCCAGGCTGTGAGTCCGTGGCCGGTTCATCCCTGATGCAACGTTCGGGCTGAAGAAAAGGGAGGATCTGACCAGTGGCCGGTGACCAGCCGTCGCCCAGACGTTGCCTGGTGACCCAGACGTTGCCCTTGCCAGGTGACAGCAGTCGCAGCGATCCCTGCGCGGAAGTTCATTTCTTTATGATGACTTCTTGGTGCCCCTGGGCTGAAGATGGAGCGACGGCGACCGCTGTTCCACAAGCTGAATCAGCGGTCGCCGAGAATTCACGAGCTGACGATGCTTTCTATCAGACAAGAGTTGCAACATGTTGGCACCGTAGACCTGTGATATATAATTACCCGTGACTAACTATTTGTGATTCTATGTCATTCTACATTGTGACTTTGCACTTAATTCGACCCTCAGCTTTTAACATTTTAACATGCTCGCACCGTTGCTGCAGCAGAGTTATTTTTTTGGGGAAGATCAGATTCTGTTTGATTGGATCCACTCTGAAATGCCAAGAGCTGCACCCAAAGAACCAGTGGTGCAGACAGAAAGCCACTGCTGAAGTGCAGTGCAAGAAGCGCAGTGCTCCGAAGAAGTGCACAAGTCAAACAGCTGTACAGATGCCATGGAGCTTTACTGATGCTTCAAAAAACCGGTGCGACTGAAGACCCATGTTCTCATGTTCACTCTTTGCTCAACAAACATGTTCTCGAGTCCCAGATTCCACAGAGTCCCAAAGAGATCTTTGAGCTTGGCTCCACTCGGTGTGTGCACCAGGAGTCTCCGCATCTCGAGTCCGCAGTCACCGCTCGGCGTTGGAGACCGCCTGTGTCCCTCGGCGTTGGAGACGCAGAAGTCACCGACTTAGCACCAGCTGGCTGCACCTCTGAAAGGTTTCATTCAGCGCACCTGTCAGAGGGAGTCTTTTGTTTGTTTCCAGACATGAAGTCATGAGTCATTGGGCCGGAGGCTAACCTTTGAGATGTAGAATGCTTATGGCAGACCCTCGACCTGGGTGAAACCCAGATCCAAACCGTTTGAGGCTCCCCTTATTTTCGTGACAATCCCATGCCATGCATGCTTTCCTCTTCGTTGCATCCCCTAAAAATGCCAGAGCTGTCCATTTGTTGCCACATGCGAGGATCAAACTACTCCTGCCACACTGGAACCAGAATGTTGGTTGGCAAACCGTGCAGATGTTTGACCCGTCGCATCCAGTGCTGACCGTTTTCAAGGTGTCAATTCAGCGTTTCTTTGCATCAATTACGTGTATAGGCAATAGTTAAGTTTATGGACACATAGTCACTTGCTGCAGCGAAACATTCCGGCTCCGATGACTGATGACCACCGCCGTCATGGTGCCAATTTGCAAACGAAACCGCACCAACAACTAGACTCGCCCCAGAGTCGCCCCGACCCTGAAGTCGTTTGTGACGCCAAAAAGAGGAAACACAAAAACATTCCTCCCTGCGACGCCATCATGCCTTCGGAAGATGGACCCCAGTGATGTCGACAAGCCCGCAGCTGGCCCTTCGGATGCAGCGGTTAACGTCCGAAGTTATAGGCCCTTTGACCCTCCCAAGTCATGGAGACATGACTCTGTGAACAAGAAGAGGTAGCGATATCTTGTAGTACAGTACTCGCACTTGGATGGTGGTAGGAAAGGAGCCTGAAGATTGTGTCCGTTTTTATTTGGAGTCATGGCCCATCACTTGGGGATTGTGGTTGATGGTATAACCTGCATGTTGTAGGGTCGTAAGCACCATCCCCACGAGCACTATTACTCAGCCGTAGCCGTATCCTGGGATGACATGTGTTTGCTTGATAAACCCATCCATGCATCCATCTTTGGATGTTGTTGTTAACAAGCTACATGCTCACCACTAGCCAATCCTCGTGGTGAGCTGCAACTCTTTAGCTGCGACTCTTGCCCCTGCACTCACCTGTGAGGCGAGGATCGCCCGAGCTCGGCTTCGGCGCCCAAGCGACGCTTGCGAGTGGTAGGCCCGGTCGGTCGGCGGAACGGGGGTTCAATCGGGAATGACCCCGGAACCTCGGTTGAACCGAGGTCCCGGTGCGGGTGACCCACAGTGCCATGACCGGTGGCTTTTAGAGGAGCCCAGAGCTGCCCAGAGCCGAAGTCGTGCCATTTAAAAATCATTTCTTGCGAGCCAAGCACTTGGTTGATCCCAACCCAACTTGCCGTTCACTCATGGAAAATATGGACACAAAAGGAGTCCACTTGCACTCACGGATGGTGAATGTTCTGGGCAGCGAACCCCCCAGGCCTCTCGGGCGACACCTTGTTGGACATCGAGGCGGAGTTCAGTGGAGGACACCAAAAGGATCCAAAAGGGTGCCAACGCCCATCGGCTCAACTTATATATCCTTTTTGGGGGGGATCGACCACTTCCCCCAAAAAGGTCCTTTTCTTGTTGGCATGGGCGTTTGAGATTCGTCCTTTTTGGGGGTGCCAGTCATGAGTGACTGTTCACTATCATTTCGTCCTCTAGAACTCAATGGGCATGGCAGTTTGCAGTATCTCTTGGGTTGTCTCAATGTCCAACTTCGCAACTGTCAATACAATCTCCTGGAAAGTCCTGGGAAATGAAGATGGCGACCTGTGCTTCAAAGAGATTGTAGCATGTCGTAGCAAGGGCAATGGGCCGGCCTGCACAAAGGGGGGCCCGATATGGGCTGATGTTGTTTGTGGCACTGTTGTGTGTGTGTTTTGGTTTTGACGACCTAGTGGCCAATGGAACAACTTCAAGCTTTCACTGGCTTTCCCTGGCTTTCACCATCCTGAATAATGTTGATCGTCATTTCCACCTGGCGGTGTTTGATAGGACTGCCGAGATGAAGCTTCTCATCTCAAGCACCGTCAGAACATGTTGCAATTCATTGAGACAAGAACATATTGAAACCATCGCTATTGGGTTGGAGGCCATCTCTATTAGGTTCCTTTTAGACGCAAAGGGCATCGCTACTAGGAGCAAGGACGCTACTAGTAAGCTCCTGGCCTTACTACTGGGAGCAAGGACGCTACTAGGTTGGAGGCCATTTAGGCGGCAGGTGGGAACAATTCTTCGGAAGCACTCTCTAGTGCTCCACCAGCGCGGGCGCTTGTGGGCCCTCTACATCGGAGGCCGAAGAGACCTGGACGGTGGGTTTCATCAAGCAAAAGGCCGGCAACATCTGTTTCGACGGTGGTTTGTTGGTCGACTCATTTTAACGCATTCCCATTGTAATTTGTAATGTCTTCATGTCTTCATGGGGCAATGAGCTTTTTCTGATTTACCCTATTGCCTATTGTTGGCTGTACTCTTTGGCAGAAGGTCCTTCCTATTGACAGAAACTGTGATGATCAGGGCTTGCAGGTTGCTGAACACCCCGAGGTTCTTGATTGGTGTTGAATTTATTCACGTTGTTCTGTTTGTCTTTGAATTCCTCAAGATTGTATTTGCTGGTTAACATTGGAGGGAGCACAAAGTCCTTTTTTGGGGGTGCAGGACTCCTGTCGAGTTCTGCCATTTACTTCTTCCAAACTTGCGGAAGTCAAAGGGACCAGGTGACCATGTCATTGTGTTTTGTGCTCATTTCTACTTCACCCATCCACCTCTGTTCTTGGCGACCCACTTCGCAGCCATGAAGAGGTGGCCATGGCCTAGGAGCCCTAGCCTGAAGTGTATGAAAGAAGAGCGAAGAATGACTTGCTTGAAGCCATCCCAATTTCATATTCGTGCCTGCTGGGTCCCTCCCACTCCAAGTGCCACTCTCTCCCTATAGCCACACCGGGATTGGTTGAACCGAACCGGCGCACACTCCGTTGACCACCCATTCCGACTGCTCGGCCGACCGACACCCTTGCGACAGGTGGCGTTCGAAGAACGGATCCTTTGCAAGCCTTGGCAGCTGAAGCTGCAGCTGGCCGAGAGGCCTTTGCAGGACCGGTCCCGCACGGCCAGAGTCGAGGTGGGTGCGGTGGTGCGGTGGGTGTGACAGTGAACACGGGATCTGAAAAGCAGGTGGGTGTTTGTGACAGGGTGGGATTATGATTCATCCGTCAACATGAGGGCAGGGCAGATAGATGGTGTTGACTTTCATGGTTTGCAAATGTGTGCAACAGATTAGACATACTGTATCCCACCTATTGACCATTGACTACAGCTTAGTGTTTGTTCCACGTGATTGGTGAAAGTTCACAGACATAATCTAAATCACACTTAATTTAGGCACTATATATATATATATATATGTTGCTCTCTCCTCTCGGTCAGTTGCTCTCGATGTGCATATCGACTCGTATTGATACAAACTCAACGCGCCTGGTTCGTTCAGGCGCCCGGCGAGGACGAAATAGTGATGCCACCTATCGCTCTTTGTTGTTTTCACCTATTTGGCCAATTTGGGACGATGTTGCACATGCAAAAGCCCCTTTTCGATCTGTTCGCCTCTCTTAAGAGAGGATAGCTCAGGAACGATCCCCAAAAAGAAACAAAAACAACACATGAGTCACATGAGAAAGAAACAGCCTGCAGAAAGGTGCTGCTTTCGCTAGCCCATTTCTCAGCCTTTTCGCTGTGGCGAGGACGGCGAGATCCTGAAAGACCTGGAGGCTGAGGAACTCACTGCAGTGGTGGTGAAGGAATCCGCCCTGCCCTTGGAGAAGACGTGGCTTCGTTTTTGTTTTTTTTTGCTTTGTTTCGGGCAGATGGATGATGGAGTGACTCAAAAAACATGACGTCTGGAGTTGGGAGGATATTTAACATAACATGTCCAAAGAAAAGGGGAAAAAACATCTCCAAGATGAATAGTCCGATCCGATGTGCCAAAAAGTGTTCCCTCTTTTATGTTGGCTGTTTGGAGCAGACCGGATGGATCGATGCATGGATTGAGTCGGACCCGTTCTTTCACGCCGTCTGACTCTTCAGTTAGAATAGCCAATTAAGTGATCAAAACATATCGAAACACATGTCACAACGACGGTGCCCATGACTTCTTGTCATGTGACCAATGAAATATCCGTAGAGTTGGTGGATGCCGACGTCTGCGGCATCCGCCGGGTTGGAATAGAGCCATAGCCATTTGGACAGCCCATTCCAGTGACCAACGGGTTCTCAAGAAATTGATCATCACTTGTTAGAGAAGACTTAGTTAGAATATTCCAGTCTTCGTCGTTGTGGAGTGAGACCCTTTGTAAGGTCGAAAATACCTAAGTCGATAGGGCAAGACTTGCAAACAGTACACCCGTCAAGGTGACCTGGCTGGATTAGGCTTAGACTTGGGTTGGAGTTGGGTAGCTTTTTTTGCAAGATCCGCTTGGAGTTTACTTGGATCATCCACTTAGACTGTAATTAACTATAAGATCCTCCCCCCACTCACTCCCCTCAGATCTTGACAGCTCCAGCAGCCCAGAGCCCCTGGTGACCTCGTGCTCCAGGTCGCAGGCATTTACGCCGCCTTCACCTGTAGCGTCTTGGTGCTCCACCCGGATGGCCGTTGCGCGTGCGCCCCCCCGCCCGTGCTTCGGCCTTGCTCTCAAGGGTGGGAAGATGAAAAGTATATACACCTGGCGATTAGCATGGAACCAGAACATGGACCTTTGGAAGACTAATTATACATAATTATATACAGTTATACATGATAAATAAATTATCCGCTACAACCTAGTGCTTTGGAGTGGCAAATTCTGCAAACAAAGCTCTCCAGCTTCTTGCGCGGAAGCCTTTCGCGCGATTCGCCGCCAGCATCTGGGGCAATACAGCGTGGATATGGTCCGTTGCGCATGTAATGTAATGGGCAGCCAGGCAACGAGAACACATGGACAGCTGTGGCTTTGACCCCCTGAAATCTGGTTTTGGTCAAGAACTGCCACGAACCAAGCTATTAAGTATATTCTATATATCAAGAACCAAGCTAACTATATCCTAAGTAATTATAAGATCTTATAAGTCAAAGTCTTTAATTTGTACCTGTACCTAACAAACCTACCTCAGTGGCAAGTGGCACAGTGGCCGCCCGACCAAACACAGTGGTTCCAAGTGGGTCAGACCTGACAACGAAAAAGCCCATGGACCAGCCCAAGAATTGGAGTCTCGTTCCCAGGTTTCATGGGTTTCATGGATGGTAGAGAACATGGCAAAAAGTCCAACAGACACACAACAGTTCTTTACAAATTGAGATTAATTAGCTGAACTTGCGTATGCTGATTGAATTTTCCTTGACCCGGAGGTATGGATGGTTTGACGACTACTGGACGAGCCCGTTAAGCAACTTTGCTGACAAGTTTGGGTGTTAAACCACATCCTCCTCCTTCTTTTCAGCTTGCTTATTTTTCGATGTTGATCGCAGAAGTCCACGCCGGTCTCCGAAAAAATATACACGAGTCCCGATTTGACACTCTTGCTGCTTTTGCCGCCCTTTGGCGATTTGTTGGACCGATGACACCACGCCCTTAGCTTCAGACGCTGCTCTGAAGAATGGCGCAGAAAGCACCAAAGCCTCGGATGCCCGAGGAGAGAGCGCTGGGCCGATGCAGAACTGCTACATTGCCGGAGGCGCCGCCTGCCTGGCGAGTGCTCGAGAAACAATGTGTGGGGTCTTCTCGGGAGTGTGGACGAGATACAGGAGTTGGTGGCAACCATGAAGTCTTGAAGAATTTTTTTTTAAAGCATCATCGGAATCGGTATGCTTTTGCTGTGTCAAAAGGAGCCACTATTGTTGTTTTTTGTTTCACTTCAAAACGATTTAACAAACGCTGCGCCAGGCTTGGAGGCTTGGGACGTTAGATCCGTGATATATTGGGCACTCATAGTGTTAGAACTTAACTTTAACTTTGGACCAAACATACACACACCAAGTTTGTCATGACTGAATGTAATTATGTTGTGTGGTTCATATGCTGTTTGTTCTTTCAAGAACAACACACGGATCATTGCATTTAGTTCACTAGAATGTACAAGCCCGCAGACAATCATGAAACCTGAGAAGAACTGAGTTGTAGAGCAAACATGTTCCTTTGTCTAATAATTGCCGTATTGTCTGCTGTTTTGCAGGGAGGCCAAAACAGCTCCTGCCGATGCCTAGCAGAAGATGCTCGTTTCGCCTGCCATGCTTGTTTCGAGGTGAGGAGGCCACTGGCGACTGGACGGTCGAGGGCATCACTTTGAAGCTCCACGCCCAGGAAGACTATTTGGGTGACGACTTGTTGCTCGGCGAGGTCGCGCTGTGTCAAATGCCGATCTGATCGGCCGTTTTTTGTTGCGAGGAGCGGAGGTGCTTGAGCCGTTTGAGCCCAGCTGTTTGCGGTACGTTGAAGAAGTGTAAGTGAGGTTTAGACCATTCACTATTTTGGGCGGGTGGTCAGGTGATGAACGGTTATATAATTTTCAATATGTCAATGATGCTTGACCTTTGACCTCTATCCCCATCGGAATGTGAATGCCACTCAACAAACATGGAAATATAAGGACAATTGCGATTTGAGAGGTAATTGTTCAGGGGATGCTCCATTTCCCTGTTGCAGCGCGTGACCTGTTGGATGCTGGCAGAGAAGACAGGATCTCCCAGCCTCAAGTAAGGGCCTTGAGGCTTAGACTGCCGGCCTCCAAGTTCAAGATCTGAAATCAGGCTTCAACTGCTTGAACCCTGCAAACCTATCGGTTCTCTCTAGATTCTCCAATCAAAAGCTACATCCATACCCGCAAATGTGGGATGAAAGTCACCGAGGATGCTCGAAGCCCAAATCGCCTCCAGCGCCGATGCTCTTCAAGAAGGCGCTGGCAAGTCCGATTCTTCGGAGGAGGCACTGAGGTCATCACCTGAAATGATAAGAGTCATATAGTATATGTTGTATATAGTATAGTATAGTATATAGTAACAGTATATAGTGTATAGTGTATATAGTATATTTAAGTATAGTTGTGATGCTTTATGTGTGTTTTCGGGGAACGATTTGTGAGTGAGCGATAAGGCTTCAGCTTCAGTCAGAAAGAGTGGTTGTCTCATAGCAGATCAGCAAGCAGCTGTATGGGCAAAGTACTGGCTGCCGCGCTCCTGCCACTGGTACTCACAGCATGCTCAGGTGGAGAATGTGAGGAGAATACAATGGTACAACTACAGGACAAAAACTCCAAGACATATGAGAACAGTGACCAGGACTCGAACAAGCCGATCATTGGTTACTGGGCTTACTCATGGTCCGTCTACCAATATGGACCAAAAAAATCAAACCGTTGGAATCTGTTTCGGTGGGTATCAATCCGCTGAAGATTGTTTGACCTACTGCTTGCCAGTGGCGTCGAAGATTTGCAGCGGATCCACAGTGCCTTGCACCAAGTGGCTGTCAATCGGGGGAGGAACTGTGACGATGGATGAGTCAGTCCTAACGGATACTGTCGGCTTAGCTGCTAGCATCTCACAAGCTGGTTTTGAAGGTATCATCTTTGATGCAGAGAACATTGTGCAGGAACCGGGCACTGACATGGTTGTGGCCTTTCAGAAAACAACAGCAGCATTAAAGGCAGCCAACTTCTCCGTCGGTATTACCACAAGTCACAGTGCACCAATTTCATGTAGCGGCTGTGTTGCTGGCGATCTTGTCCTTGGCTGGGTTGCAGATCCAAATATTGACATCCTATCCCCACAGCTCTATTCCGGTGGTAGCACTTTGGAGTTGGTACCGACCGCCAGCTGCCAGGATGATACGCCAGCATGCACGTGGAATCTTTGGGAAAATTCCACCGCTCCAATCGTTCCTTCCATTCCTTATGCAGATAATTTTGATAAAGCTCAGGATTACTTTCTAGCCAACTACAGCATCACATTTGGTGGCTACATTCAGTGGATGCCAAGCTATAATGGCGTCACGACGTACTGGTGTGGCTATACGTTCGATGATGCGGCTGAGAACTGCTACAAGGAATGCCCTTCAACAACAGCGGCAGATTGTGATGAGGGCCAGTACTGTTGGCAACCAATCACCACATGTGGCACAACGACAGCCGTTCCTGGCCCAGACACGAAGCCGCCAAGTCCATCAATGCCACGCAGGGGCTCACCTCCTCGATCCTTTGGCAGCCTGGATCGTTGAAGTGTCCGCTGTCGTGGGCCGCTGGATTGTTGATGCTCAACTGCAAGAAGTGGTGGCAAGAGTACGACTGGAACAGTCGCTTCAGGTTCAGAGTATTTTTTCACAGAGTCTTGAACGGTGACGAGTCAAGCCAAGTGTTTGTGACTACTAAAGCCTAAAGCAGACACATGGTTTCGCTGCATTGATGCATTGCATATCGTGTATTGTTGTGTTTTTCTGTTTAAAACACGTTTCTGGGCATCACCCAAGGATGAGAACGTTGGCCAAGTGAAGGGGCAGGTGATTTGTTTTTTTGTGAAGCCTTTGGCTGCTTGCCTAAGCTTGTGATTTTGACAAACAATGTGGAACCTCCAAAAGTGAGGAGAGAGTCGATGAAAGCTTTTAAAGGTTTCGTTGAACTTCATCGTCCATGCCTTGTAGAGAGGAGTGATCTACGGTATGAAAAGGAAGCTTGTATGCGGCTGACTACAAACGATCAAAGACAAGCTGTTGCTTCATGCAGACACTTTCGCACGAGCTGATTTACTGCTGCTATAGCACATCCCCAAAAGTGACATGGCATGTCCAATGTGGGATGTGCCTAGTTTGCATACTGCAGGGCTTTTAATAGTGCAAACCTTCTGTATATATATATATATAACACAAGTTTGTTTCGTTGTCAATGGTTTTCCAGCTGGGTCCAGTCCCCAGACCCAACAGTTCCTGAAAACGCCTTCTTCCGCTTCAGATAAAAAACAACGTCGTTTCGACGCTTCCGATGGCCACCATCGCCAGGGATTTCGGAGACCATTCTGGTGGCCAAGCACCTCGGTCGAAGCGATGGAGGTCCAGCCGAGTCATCCGCCACCTCCAGCGGATGTGGAGAACTCGTGCTGGCGCTTTCTTCCGGTTTCAACACCTGGGCGTTCGTCTGGAGTATGTGGGGAAGATAGTGAGTCATGTGCAACGCTTCGGTATTGGAGTTCTCCCTGCAGCTGGATATTTTTTGGAACCACTCTGATTTCACTTGGGGGCCCCTTCTTAGTTAGAAATCTTGTCCTCGTGCTGGCAGAAGTACAAACCGGCCGGGGCGCATGGGTACAGTGGGCAGGAGTGAAAATGTCAAGTTCGTGTTTTCAGCGGATTCAGCTGGGCCAACCTGAGGAATCCTATCCAACTGACCTGACGTGAAACACTGGAGTTACTGAGGAGGGTTGGTCTCGGCTTTTTGCCAGCCACAAAGAGAACCATGATCTCATTTGTAGGGAGATCCTTTTAATTCGACCAAATCATTTGGGTCCTAGAAACCAATATTTAATATAGTATAATAGCACTTCTGATTCCTTTTTCAGGCATGCACCTGCTCCAAATTTCTTCACAGGAACTTCGATGGCAGGATTTCTCGTGGTCCAATCCATCCCCTCTTGGCTTGGTCCGATGCATCTGTGAATCCCGCTTGGGGGTGGACTGGTCGATGCGTTTTTTCGACGGGAGCACGGCTCGGTGTCCTATGGCTGGCATGGCTCAGGATCTGGCACAAATTTCGTGAGTGTGAACGGAGTCTTGAGCCTGAGGACAAGCAAATGGCCGTCGTGCGGGGTTGAAAGCAAGCTGAAGCAAGGAATTTGCCCCGCCCTAAAACAGGCCAGACTCTCATCTCAGAATCAAGGAATTGCTTGGGTGGCGTCATGCAAACTCCAGCCTGAGGGTATCGCCAACGGGGTTTGGTTTTAAGAAGGCGTTAAACATTTGTCATATTTGAGTCTTGAGAGTTCATTAGCCCGGGTCGAAATGCCACAATGCTGGCACATTCCAAACGTGTCGAAATAGACCTGCACATACCAAACCTCTTCTTTACTCCAACCTGATCCTACCAAAAAAGAAGAACATTCAGTTAGATCTATCCACTAGGGTTATAAAAAACTTTCATATGGTAAGGCCAGAATCCTTGATTTAAAAAAAAAAGTCAAAAAAAAATCAAAAAAAAGTCAACTGGAAAAGTCAAAGTCAAAAAAAAGTCAAATTGAAAAGTCAAAAAAAAGTCAAAAAAAACAAAAAAAAAGTCAAAAAAAAGAAGCAAAAATAAAAAAAGAAACAAAAATGTCCAGTCAAGCGACTCAGGAGCAAAAGAAAGTCGGCATATATATATATATATATGGAAACACAGGCAAAGAGGACAACAACATTGAACTAAACTAGTAACAAGCTCATAAGTCAGCCAAGGCAAGTTGCAGCCTTTTTGCTTATGGCTTATGGCTTTCAGTCTATTAAAAATTCTAGAACCTTTTTGGTTGTTCAACTTTCACCTTTTCCAGCCCCAACCCCCTACCCCAGAGTCGCAGGACCCCTACCCAGCCCCAGCCACTGTCCCAGGGTCTCTTCAGCCCCAAGCCAGCCCTGTCCCTGGTGGCCCTGGTAGCCACCCCAGAGTCCCAAGTACCCAGCCCTGTCCGGCCCCAGAGTCGCGAGCAGAATTGACTTTTTTTCGAATTTTTTTTTACTTTTTTTTGACTTTTTGTTGCCTCCAGTAATCCGCCAAGGCTAGGATCCGCGCTTGGTTTTCACATTTGACTTTTTTTTGACTTTTTTTT